AAAAAGATAAAAACAACACACCATTAAAATCCCTGGCAGTCAGTTCTTAAAAATCTGTGGGAATAGAAAAGCTTCCATGTGCCGCCCAAAGTACAGCTTCCCATGGAAGGAAGTTACAGAATCTGGGAGCAGCCACCGATAAGGCCCTGTGTTCTCACTAAGTGAGCCTATAAGGGTGGCAGTGCAGAGAGGAAAAAGTCCTGCCCCCAAACCCATAAAACTCAAGCAAGATAATATGAGAAGATATGGTTTGCCAGATCATCTGGACTAAAGCCACAGAGGGTTTTGTAGGTCATAACCAGCACTTTGAATGGTACTCATAAACTGGTTGGCAGCCGGTGGTGCTGTTGTAACAAAAGAATCTTAACAAGAGAGCCGTGTGTTCCTTGTAACCAGCTTCCAATAGCAATTCTGGCCATCACAAGAAGAATGTCGACAAGCTGAAGGGCAACCAAAATGGTGCAAGGGCTGGAAAGCCCTATGAGGAGCAGCTTAGGGAGCTGGATAGGTTTAGCCTGGAGAAGAGAAGGTTAAGAGGCGACATGTTTGTTGATGTTGCTATCTACCTTCAAGTCAACCTCGACTCATGGCAACCCTGTGAATGAGACATCTCCAAGTCCTCTAGTGCTCTGTTCAAATCCTGCAGGCTCAGGTCCATGGTCTCTCTGACTGAGTCTATCCATCTGGCATGTTGCCTTCCTCTCTTTCTACTTCCCTCCACCTTCCCCAGCATCATTGTCTTTTCTAATGAGTTGTGCCTTCTCGTGATGTGGCCAAAGTATGATAGCCTCACTTTACTCATCTTGTTTAAATATCTGAAGGGACGTCAGATTGAGGACGGAGCAAGCTTCTTTTCTGCTGCTCCAGACATTAGGACACGGAGCAATGGATCTGAACCACAGGAAATGAGATTCCACCTCGACGTTATGAAGAACTTCCAGACAGTAAGAGCTGCTTCTCATTGTAATACGCTGCCTTGGAGAGTGGTGGAATCTCCTTCTTTGGAGGTTTTTAAACAGAGACTGGATGGCCATGTGTTGAGAGTGGTTTGATGGTGTCTTCCTGCATGGCAGGGGTTGGATTGGATGGTCCTTGGGGTCTCTTCCAACTCCAGGACCCTATGATTTTATTATTCTAATCTGGCTGCATCTGAATAATCTTGTTGTAGTTTTGGATCAACTGAGGTTTCTGAACATCCTTCAAGGGCAGCCCATGTAGAACGCATTACAGTAATCCAAACAGGACGTAACTAAGACATGTGTCATCATGGCTCAGTTACACGTTTCTAGGAATGGGTGCAGTTGGTGCATCAGTTTTAGTTGTGCAAATGCAGTTCTAGCACCCAGAATTTTATTTAAGTTTTCATATATATAAAAATAGAACATCAACAACAAATATATAAAAAGAAAATGTAAAAAGGGGAACAAATGGGGGGGAGGGAAGGCAGGTACAAGCATAGAGAAAGAAAAGAAAACAACCTGAGACAGATAAAAGTGACTTCCAATTTTCTCCTCAGTGGTTATTAAACTGTATTAAACTATAAGATCCATCAATACCTCTCTCATGCAAGGCAAAAAATCCCATCAACCTCCTCTACATGTTACGAATATTACTTCTCCAAATTAAATCTTTTACAATCCAAGATACAGTCCCTAACCGAAAGTCAATCAAACATTAATATACAGTATGTTTATTACTGAATATTAACAATCTTTATCATCTGCTACTATTAGTCTTCCCTTCAACCAAATCCACTACTTCTGTTTCGCTCGCTTCTCAAATACAAGTGCTTTTATTAAACTCATCAAATTACCACCACCCCTCCTCAATTTCCCTTCTGCCAGCCCTTAGCCTAACAAAAACAAGGAAAGAAAAGAGTAAAACTTACTATAACATTCCTTAATATCTTCACGGTTCTAGCACCAAGGATGTGGCTGGCACATTTCTCTAGATGTAGCTGTACTAATCTACTTTTGTACCAATTCCTGAGAGTTTTCCTTGCTCCTCAGGTGGGAAATGCCCATTCCAAACCTCCCCCTTTCTCTCCTCCTGTTACTGGCACCAGGAATCACAGAGTTGGAAGAGACCCCAAGGGCCATCCAGTTCAACCCCATTCTGGCATGCAGGAACTCACAATCAAAGCCCCCCTGGGAGATGGCCATCCTGCCTCTGTTTCAAGACTTCCAAAGAAGGAGACTCCATCGCACTCTGAGAAAGTGTGTTCCACTGTTGAACAGCTCTTACTGTCAGGAATTTCTTCCTGATGTTTCCGTGGAATCTCTTTTCCTCATTTGAAGCCAATCCAATCATAGTTCGGGGGGGGGGGGGGGGGAGAACAGTTTCATGTAGTATAAATAAATTAAGGTGAGAAACATAGGGTCTTCCAGTTATTGTATGACTGCAGGCCCCAGCAACTAAGCACGGCCTCTCAAATAGGACTGGATCCTTTATTATAAGGGATGCCTCCTTTTTTGACGGTTAGAAACCTTTTCCTTTTGTATAGACCGGGGTAGGCCACCTTTCCCCTTTAAGGGCCGAGGGACTTCAGCTCCCAGAATCCCAGGAGCTATTGGCCAACATGGGACTATTGGCCAACATGGCTGAGGCTTCTGGGAGCTGAAGTCCCTCGGCCCGTAAAGGGGAAAAGTTGCCTACCCCTGGTATAGACTGAACAAGATGACCCCAAATTCCATATTTTAGGGTGTGAGCCCTTCATAAAGATAGAAATGTATGCATCGTATAATTTATGAATGTGGACAGCATGCTAATTTTACAGAGAGACACATGGCTAACTTAAATGAAATCAATACTTGCATTTGGTATTTAGGAATAACACAAAGTTGTCAATAACTACTTCCTGGTTGTCAATCGTATGTCCCGTAAACTTTGACTGCCCTTTACTGATGTTTTGAAAACCTGGTAACACTTGTGGGTATAAACTAGTGGGACTATTAATTCTCTTGCCTTGAAACCCATGGTTGTGTTAACGCAGGCTAAAAAAGTATTTGCTTTCTCTGATGCAGCAACACACTGCCGGCTCATGTTCAACTTATGATCGATCATAATGCCAAGGTCCTTTTCACATGTAGTCCTGCCACAAAGGAAGACATCTATATACTTTGGATTTCTACACTGTATGAAACAGGAGTGGGTAACTGGGCAAGCACTAGAGCCATTTAGCCCCTTATGCCTGCCCAGCAGACTCCACCAGTGCATCCAGTACGACTGAAGTGATACAACAGCACTTATAGTTGCGATTTTTGCAGATTTGGGGGGTCTGTGCTTGAAAATATTAAAAAACCAACACTTGGGGGGGGGTCTGGAAGCATCTGAAGACATTTAGGAGCTGCACTTAGCCACTATTGGCCAATGGCCACACTTAAGCCACCCCAAATATAAAACAATTAAAGGTGAATTTTTTCCCAGTGAAAGCTACTCATGATGGATGTTTAACATGGCCAATAATTTTATTAGGGTCATGCACTATAAGATATTTTCTTTAATCACTCCCGGTGGTAATGACCATTCCATTTTTAAACCTATGTATTATTCAATAAGAGCTCACAGAACGAGGCATCAACTCTTCCTGCAATTTTCTGAAGCACAAGGCTGCTACTTGGGATGCTCTTCTTTCAATTAAAGATTAGGTTGCGCTAGTAAAAAGGGGGACGAAAAGTCGAGAGGAGGCCAAGGAAAGAAGGTTTGTTTCGGTCGCAAACCATCTCAGAGTTAATTTCTGCTGTAAGTTTATCTAAGTTTTACAGCCTTTCTGCTATCGGGGAAAATTAAACGATTTGCTAGATTACAAGAGCAGCAAATATGGCAAAGATTATT